GGCTTGTAATTTGACCAAGGAATTTCTAATTTTAGCGGTCCCCCCCTTTTCCCCCTCTATTTTCTTTAATAAGCTATAATACTAGAATTTGGAATTATTCAGTACAACTGATTAACAGGAGATTTGGGACAGATAAAATTTTTTATGCAATAGATGATGTAGGAAATCTGCTGCTAAAACCAAAAAGTATAGCATTAGTAAAACACAATAATAAAAAACAGAGCAACAATAAAATGAAAATCAATGAATTAAACCCCAATATATGTAATAACAGTAACATTATATTTCAAAGAGATAACCAGCTTGGTGTAATGGTTAAGACACCAGGCTAGAAATTGGGAGACCATGAGTTCTAGTCCTTAGGCACAAACCCAGCTGGGTGACTTTGGGCCAGTCACTCTCTCTCAGCCTAGGAAGAAGGCAATGGCAAGTCACTTCCGAAATCTTGCCAAGAAAACTTCAGGCACTGGCTTGAAGGCACCAAAAACCAACCAACCAACCAACCAACCAACCAACCAACCAACCAACCAACCATCCAACCTTCAAAGACCCTGTGCAACAGTTTTAATCACCTTCCAGAATGATGTCAGGGTAAGTGCCAGACAAATCTCTGAGGAGTGGTTGTTACTCAAGTTGGAGGCCTCCATGGAAAAATAGCCATCTGCCTGAGAGACTATGGCATTCTAAGTAAATAGTTCAGGGAATGAATAAAAATTTTAATATGAAAGGACAGAATGAATCACTTTTGGGCATGGAGCAGGACTGAAATAATCCTTTAAGTGATCATGTTGGGGTCACATCAAATGACCAACCAGAAGACTGAAGTGTTTTTGGACTGATATCTCTTCTCCATAAAGGAAATTATTGATAAGAATCACCTTGGAAGACTTATAGATCCAGGAGTGCCCTTGTCTACAGGAATTTTTGAAGAATGTGGAAATCATTGCAAAAGCAAATAATGACAGATTGGTGCGATATAGAGACTAAAATTAGTTGTCTTTTGTGATACCAAGACTCTGTTCTTTTATTTAAAAATTGGGGATGCAAAGCAGATAGCAAGATGACTAAACTGATGTTGGTGGAAAGAATTCTGGAAGACTAGCTTTATTATTTTATTGAAACATTCCAGAGTCTTATGACATTTTAAACTTTAACATATGTGACATAAACTTTCATTGTTTTTTCATGAGACTGAGCACATCATACTAGTCTATATGACTAGGGGAAAAGCTTCACCTGCTAGATTTCTTCAAGAAATTACTAAACGTTTTCTTCATTTAACTTCAAAGAGAATAAGGCTGTAGACTTATGCTTCACTGATCAAAATGGATTTAATATATGAAGCAGAAAATCTCCCTGGCAGCAAAAATAGAACACCAGCAAATTAAGTAGCAGTTTGCTGTCCATAATCACATATATTTCCGGTCCTGAAAGACAGTGCATTCTACTTAATAGTATAGATTGCCCCTGTTTCTGAATTTATATAGGATTAGATGAAAAATGTATTTAGGATACAAACACATTAGTTTATGATTTTCAGTTTTCATTGCCTATGATCCTTTCAATTGGAGATGAGATTATACTTACACCATCTCAAGCTGGCATTCTAGGCCACTTGAATCAAACATGTTCATATTTCCTATAGAAAGATATGCAAGCTTATTTATGTGCCTGTTTATTATTTTGAAGTTACAAGGTCATGAAAATATTGTGAATGACACCAAATGTATGTCTCCTGACATTTTTGCTTGGATATTTTTAAGGTGACCTCATCACTTCATCCAGTTCCTGTTTAGAAACAAGAGTATGAAGCCATTAACATCATCTTCCACACCCAGACATGTGAGAACATAAGGTATATGTTCTGGTTTTGGTAGTTATTGTTTAAACTATGTTTAAACAAATGCCACTTTGATATACCTAATGTGAGTCATACCTTACCAATGCTGCTAATTATTAACAAAAAAGAAAAAAAAGACCTAAGTAACATCAAAACAGGGATTTGGGGTTGTTGGGGTTTTTAAATGTTTAAATATCAATAATACTTTTTCTTAATTATGCCTGTTACTGTATTGTACAACCCAATCCTATTGCATGTGTATTTAGAAATAAATTCCACAGATTTGCTAAGTAGATTAATTAGCAAATGTGCATAGGATCCCTGGTTTCCTCTGAGGTTCCCTGGATCTGCAGAACACATCTCACTACTTAGAGACAGACAATGTCTCATCTACCACATGTTGTTAAACTATAATTCTCAGCATTCCCCACCAGTGCTTAAGTGGGCTTGGTTTACAGACAACCGTGGCTCAGCAATATTTGAAAGTTCATACATTTACTAGCTCTGACATAAATAAATATGCATATAAGGATAGAGTCAGTGACAAGTAATATCTCCACACTAACTTTGGCCATGAAAATGTGTATCTAGTTATGTAACCAATAACGTGTTCTTTGAATTTAGTTGATTGCCATTTAAAAACATTTATTTATTAAAATCTAGTTTTTCTTCCAGCAGTAGCAGCAGCAACATTATTTTCTAAATGTTTTACATGAACTGATAGCCATTATCTGTGGTAGCAAAATGTAACATTTAGGGATTACAGTATAACTAGTGTGCACAATTGTAGCACATATTTATTTGCATGAGTTCTCCTAGGATACCTCCAGTGTCATGCAAACTTCCTCAAATCATCTGGGCTAGATTAAACCTGGGGTCATTGTAAAGCAAAGTAATTGTTGATACTCTATAGAAATAATTGCTGTTCATCCACTTAATGATAAAACAGAACTTTTGGCTTATCTGACTTTCCTAGATACAAGTAAGGTGCTCATGTATATACAGTAGTTCTTTTTGCTAACATAAATAGGTAACCAAATCAGGGATTGATAGCTGCATGTTACATCCAAACTCAAAATTTTAGTTTGCTGTGCCTAGTAAGCCAAGATGTCAAGCCAGGTACAGAGACATTTGTTGCTTTATGAATATTAATCTATTTTGGAGTAACGCACCAGAATTCTAGTTCTGGACGTAACATGCAGTTATAGTTTCCTAGTTCATTCACGTAGCCATGAAAAAGCAGGAGTTAATGGGCTTTGTGCATAAGGAAGCAGCTTATTTACAGTAAGTCAGAATCAGGAAAGTATCCTTGCTAAACACGTGTGACTATGAGTACTGTACTGCCTGCTTATTCAGAGATTAAAATTACTCTTTTCATATTTCATTGCACTTAAAATATTCTTTGACCTGAACTAAGGTCCTGGTGATTATATGAACACATTTACATAGGTTTTTTCTATCTTCTTCAACTTTCTACTTCAGGGATTTCCTAGTGGATTCTCATCTAAATACTAAAGCAGATCTAACTTTTCTTAGCTTTTCAAGACAATTCAGAGTTGGGTAGATGTTGCTATCAGCTATTACTATCTTTGAGAAACAGCTGGAAGTGCTTAAAAAATCCTTATGCCCCACCAGTTTATTTAACAATCTTCAGAAATGCTTTTCTTTCATTCTTTATCTTCTGTCTTTCATCCAGGAGCTCAAGAAGGCCCATTCTGTTCTCCCATTGCCCTCTCTGCCCAACAACACCCCTGTTGTTCAGTTGAGAGACAGTGACTGACCCAAAGACATCAAGTGAGGTTACATGGCTGAGTCTGCATTTACTTTGCCATCTCCCAATCCTACTCCAACCTCTTGCCTGCTACATTCACCCTTGGCTATAGCTACATTCTGCTTTGCAGAAAGTGCATCAAGTAGGCAATTGATGACCTTGAAACATCACAACTTTTACTAATTACTAATTATACTTTAGTGTAGGTTGGAATTAGACAGCAATAATGTCTCAAAGGTTGAAGTTACCTAGAAATCAAAATCATATCCTTCAATTTCAAAGGCTTGGTTGTAGGACATAGGAGCCTGAGTGCCATAAGGAAAATGTCTCTCTTTGACACGCATCTTTTTTCATTCATACAACACACAGCATACTAACCATGGTTAATGAAACCATGATTCAGTTAATTCAATTTTCTGGGCTTGCATGAATTATAAACCAGCAATAGTGGCTGAATTCACACACTATGCTAAATTAGTATGTGATCAGTTTGTAATTTAGCATATTGTTGGGAAAAGAGCTTCTTTACAAAGAAAGGTCCCACTGTATGTGTTGGACCTTACTGCTTGGCAACCGCAGGTAGGACTTCTGTCTAAAGGAAGAAAATCTTCTCCTTGATTTTGGTCAATTGTGTAATAGGCAGAAAGTTAGCAGGTGCAGGCTCTTCAGCACTTTGACTTCTTCAGTTTGTTGAATGTCTGCCAGTCACAAAGCTGGAAAACCTCAATGTCAACTAGGGCTTGTGGACTCCCACACAGCACCTTAAAATTAGCTCTGTGGATTACTGCTCCTTTCATCAGTGGCATCATGAAAGCTGTATTCCCAGGACATGCAGAGCCACCTGTTAGCCCAGTATGATGTATGAACCCAGCCTCCAGGGTGATTTATGGTTCAGTGTGAATTTGGGCAGAAAACCATGTTGCAGGAACACAGCTGATGTGTTAACACAGATCCGCACAGGAGGAATTATAAATTGTGGGGTCAGAGAGAAACAAATTATAAAGATATTGTGATAACTATTTATTAACGAGACCATTCACAAAAAGTTGCCAGTGATAACCAACTATTCTTGCACTAGTCAGCTAATTAACATACGTGATATAATAATTTAAAAAGCTGTTGTTCCTGCTCAGATTTCCTGTCCTTGAGGCTACACGAAGAGTACACTTACTGGAAAGCAAGTCTGGGAGTAGCTAGTTCCGGCGCGATGCTTGGTATGTTTGCTCAGAAGTAAGCCCTGCCTGCGTTCAAGTGGAGTTTACTTCCAGGTAAGGCGTGCGATGGATTGCAGTTTTAAGCTCCGCCTCCACGACAGAAGTTGCCTGAATTTGCCCAGCGAGCGCTGCGCTCTCCTTTTCTGCAGGTGAATAATAGCGGGTTGGGCCCTCCTGGCAGTATTAAGTGATAAAGGGGAGGGCCTTTTGCACAGCCGTGACACAAACGCTCCCGAAGCCCGAGCGGTACAACCTGGCGCTGTCTGGTTCCGCGACCTGTGCGGTTCTCGCTCGCACCTCCAGAAAGGGCGCTACTAGGTGCGGGTGGCGGCCAGGGGCGCGTTCGTTCCCCCTGGGAGGAGGGCGTGCGCGTCTACCGGCGCCCGGCTGAAAGTGAGCGACGGGGAGTCTGGGACGCGCCGCGGAGGCGTTGAAGCCCTCCGCGTCGCGTGCCCATTCTCTTAGGTAAGCCCGGGGCTCGGTCTGGGGAAGGGGGCCCGCTTGGCTCGAGGAGCCGGGAGGGGGGCGGCGGCGGGCTGGGTGCTGCGCGCTGTTCTATTGCTTCCCAGGTGGCCGCCTTCCCTTTTCTAGCCTTTTCTTTTTCTAACGGAAAACTGGGAATCCCAAGAAGTGCCGTCGTTGGTCTCGCTTTCTCTTGTCCTTTGTGGCACGCACAGACTGCAAACTACTCGTTCATAAAGAAAATTGAAAGCATCGCGCCGGAACTAGCTACTCCCAGACTTGCTTTCCAGTAAGTGTACTCTTCGTGTAGCCTCAAGGACCCATTATGGCTAGAAGCGAATGGGTAGACAAAACCGTCAATTTTCTTTATGAACGAGAGAAATGAGATAGGTGGGATGAAGACAAACGCAGGTCATTTTCTGATTTACGTAATTATTCAAGGAGGAGACTGCTAATTTCGGTTTTTACCCTTGTGCTTGAAACGATCCGCACCCCTCCCTCTCTCTGCGTCTGATAAAGCATTCCAGGGCTATAGCCCCAGCACCTGTGGTTTCTCCTGAATTATTCGGAACCAGTCTTGCATATAATACACAGTTTGTATGGCGAGAGCTGAAAAAGTGTTGTGATGTTTCCCAGCATATCATGGGTAGAGTGAACTGTAGGGATTGTTATTCATCTGTTCGGATGTGAACTTCCTCTGTAATTTCCATTATTCAGTGTCTTCATCTGAACGTGATGATGATCTCTCTCTTCTTTTGGGGCATTTATGGCAGCATACTGGTGACCCCTTAACCCCTGCAGTACCACAGGGATTTTGTTCCCACAGCACACCAGGCTAAAATGTGGTTAAATCATTTCCAGATCTGCATATTTCATGCAAGCGTAGCTAGTGACTTTCTAAAGATGGACCAGGGTTCTTTAGGAGCAGAGTTGTTTGAGCCTGGGTTCCCTTGGTGAGCTGAACTATGCTGGCACTAGGGTGTTTGCTCTGTGACCAAAGTTTTATGTTTCTTCAAAAGGTGGTGCAAGTTTCATTCTGCAAACTATTTTGTACTTAAATTGATTTTATTTCCTGGACATTAGTGGGATGCAGGTTAATACCCTGGATTTAAACTATTGACTACCAGTGATCTTTGAATCACAAAGGAAGTTAGGTTTTCAATACAAATATTGTTTGAATTTATATGCATATTATGATTTTCTTTCAATGTCAGAATTCCGTGCAACTAAAGTAATTTAAAACAGAGTTTGAAGATTGGACTATTCATATTATTGATTGTAATCTTCTATTCTAATATGTGATAGCAGACCTGGAGAGTGATATATGATGTCTTACTGGTTCTTTTTCTGCTTTATTGTTTCTTCTTTTGTAGTGCATGTGGCACTTCCTTAGCAGTATACTAATTGAGAAGCCCCATTTGATAAAGAGAAGACCTGCCATTTAGGCTTGCCTAAACTGGGTGAAAGAGCTAGGGAATTAGGTTTGGAAAGTAAAGAGATCACCTTGCCCCTTCTAATCAAGTTGGGATTTCCGTCTGTTTCATGAATTACTGTTTGTATAAGTAGAAAATAAATCATAACCATAAAGGTCAGTTACTTTATTTGCTTTAGTGTAAAGTGACATTGGTATGTGAAGTACTTCCAACACCTGCTGTGTAAATACTAGTTTAATGGGAACAACCATCAGCTGTATGCTAGTTGAAAGATCTTATTTTTGAGATAGTCAACCACTTTCATCCTATCTCCCTTTGAAGATAATTGTTAACTCTGAACTGGCTTCAGGCATTTTCTGCTGTGAAAAACGACTCTGATCTAGTGGAGTTTATCTATACGTAAATGGGGGAAAGAAACTATTTTCATTTTCCTATCCTGTCCCCAATGTACTATTCCTAAAACTCATTCTGAAGGATCAAAATCAGAAGGAGTCTGGTAGTACTGTTGCCAACAAACAAAATTTTATTAAAAAGGCTTAAATTTTCATGAACTATAGCATACTTTATCAGCAGTTGTAGTTGTAAGAGTTGTTTACAGAAGCTTAGGCCTTTTAAAAATGTGTAAGTCAGAAGATGGGCTACTAGACTCCTTCTGATTTTTTGACAATGGCTAACATGGCTCTTTTCTTATAATGTCTTAAAGATCAGGTGATCTTCTAGAAAAATGGTGAGGTTTTCCTGGAGAGAGGGAAAGTGAACATGAGTGCAGACCCTCGTGAAGGTAGTTGAAATACTAACCAAGGAGGAAGAAGTTCTGCATAAATTTGCCATGTCATCTGGGTGTGCTATATGAGTCTCTTTGTGTAGTTCAGGAGTATGTATGAGTACAAAGTTGCTGTGTGTAGTTCAAGGAAAACTTAACTGTGGTATTTTATATTGTTTTTTAAAAGCTAAAAAATATGAAGACAAAAAAGCTACGTGCTGGTTACCCATAGAACAATTTTTTTCCAAGAAGGATTTTTCTGCTTTTCCTCCTGGATAACATAACCCTTCATGTAAAAATTATGTGCAGAATAAATATGTCTCCCAAAATTAATAAATAATACAGAAAAATTGAAAAGCAAATTTCAGTTTGGATGTATTTCCATGTAAGTGTACATAAAATTAAATCTCAAGTGTCAATCCTAACTGACACCTGAGACTCAATCTTTTGTACACTTTACATGGGAGTAGCTTACTGCTAAGTAAACATGGTTAAATTATGTAGTACATACTCATTAGGAATGTGCAAGGGGGTAGAAGAGGCGAATCCATGTGCTCCAAGAATGGTGGCTTTTGGTGTACCAGGAGAATATCTTCTGAAATTGTCCTCAAAATGTTCAAATGGTGCTCCCCCCCACCTGGATACTCAAATTGGCCCATTCCAGGAAAAATTGGAACATGAAAGCACCTTGTTTTCCATGTCCCTAGTACCTGCTTGCTATAAGAGAAAGCTGTAAAAACTGGAATGTGTTGGGTTCTGATGTTAGGCTGAGTGAGATGAGTATCTTGAGCAGCCATTTCTAGGGAGCAACACGAGAGCTGTGCATATATAATGTATCCTGCACATGTCCCAGCAGTTAAACTACTGCGTTCAGCTGTAGCAGGAAATACAATTCCACTGCCAGCGCTGCAGCCAGATTCAACTGCTCGTCCAGTTAACCAAGATATGTGGAACAGATGGGGACATCTTGTTCTTTGTTTAGGCAGGGAAATGTATTGGGCCCGGCCTGGTTCTCAAATATTCCTAGTCAGAAGTTTCTAACTGCCAGGAAAGGGAAGCAGAGGAAACTATAGCTTGCATAGCACTGTGTTATTTTCCTCAATCCAACTGCTAGAATAGAGTAAAGGGGGAATATTCATAGGCCATATGTTCACATTGGCAGGTGAATGACTCAGGACCAAGTCAGACTCCAAATTACTGCTTTTTTTTTAAAGAGTGTAACTCATCCCTATTGTTTAGGATGTTTCCATATTTGATATCCTTTGGACATTCCTTTGTTAGAAATACATCAGTATCTACTGACTTTTTTCTAGAGATGCTGGGCAGTGGTCTAATTATAAATTGTTTACAGATATCTAATACATATAGATAGTACTAATACATATAGATAGAACCTTTCTTTTGTCTAGATGTGCTTAAAAGTATAATGTAATACTAGACAGCTTTTCTTCTTTCTTTTGCAACTAGGAACTGCAGCTTAAAAAATTAAATTAAAATAATTTAAAACTTTTGAATCAAGGGCCTCAAGTGGTCAATGCAGTAATGTGTCATCTGAGAAGCAAGGTGGGAATTTTGGGCTTAGTGGAGTTTTATAGGTAATTTAAGTATATTGTGTAACCCTAAGGTAAAATACATGAACATTCCTGTACATGAAAACATCTAATTAAGAGGATGCATTAGGAAACTGAGACTCTTGACTTCCTGTATCTCTAGACTTGAAGAGACCCTTCCAAATGGATAGCCTTTAAGGTATGCACACAGCAAATGCATTTTTATTTAAGTGCATTTGTATGCTACAAAACAGCTTGGCATAAAGGAAGTTTTGAACCCTGACAATTAACATTGCCCAAAGCATCTGAAACTATTTACATTTTTCTCATCTGATCCTGATGAGAAGATTCAAACTTCCACCTCAGGGTTACAAAGCTAAATTGTATATTAATTCCAGATCACTGTCTTGATTTGTTATTTGTGTATCCCTTTTAATTATTAAGACAGCCAGTTTCCTTTGTATGTCCAGTGTAGCATCTTTTTCCATATCATTCTTGTAGCCTGTCATTTTTAAATCCACTGTCAGATCAGTCTCAATGGTAAAACTTGTTCCCTTCCATAACATATTTTAAACACAGTCTATCTGTAGAGGCAGACACTCTTAAAATTAACTTCTAGGTCCATTGTTCAAAAATATCCTTCAATATGTCCAGCATTAAAATATTTTGCTTCATTCTGTATTAGTAAGTCAAATTTAAGCGTTTTTCCTTTAATTGTAATCTTTAGTTCCTTCTGGTTCCCTCTAGTGTCCAACCTTCAAAGT